CAGAGGAAAAATTAAACGCAAAGCACATGATAAAATTTCAGGGTAAAAAATGGCATATTACAAAGCAAATGAGAAAATAAGCCTCTAAAAATTTATGAATCATAAAAATTTAGTTTAGTTATTCTTCCTTGCAATCAAAACACCAGCTGAATATCAGTTCTCTACTGCACTTCCCGTATGGTCAATATTCAAGAATGTTTAATTAACTTAGTTAAATATAAGAAAAATGGAGTTCAAGCTAACCAAAAGAAAATTCGGACCAAATAAAAGGAGAAAAATAAGCCTGAACCAAAGGATATCTTAGTAGAGATTTTTTTTAAAAGTAATTAGTATAAAAATTGTTCACAGATAGAAAAAGCTTCTAAAGTTTTTGAAAACCGTTAAATGCCTAAACCAGAGGTCACAAACTTACTGCCCTTGGACTGCACCCTGTAAGTAGATGTATTTTGTCTATCAACATGCATTTTTAAAAATCTAAATTATTTTTCAACATTTACTAGTCAGGAGATTTCATATAAAATGTTATTAATCCTGAACGACCTGAAGGTCCAGCAACAATGAATCCCATTTTTTCACTGCAACAACTGGCCAGCAGATTTCAACGCACCAGCGCATCAGAAACCACCTAGGAAGCTGCGCGTCAGAAACCACCTAGGAAGCTTTGAAAATATACCGATGCCTGAAGCTGACCCTCCAGTCATTCTAGGTAGACCCCAAATATTCATATATTTCAAAGTTCTTCAGGGGGCCTTAATGTGCAACTGAAATTGAGACTCGTGGGCCTAAAATTTTATACTTGGCATATGCTCTTCATTTAATCACAGTAGTCAAATGTACTGCATTGTTCTTCCAGTTACTCCATCATAAAAAGCACAAGGAGTTGAAACTCCATTTAAATATCCCCATTTAATCTTGTTCAAGCCACAGAACTAAAGATGGGCCCAGTTAAGCAATATAAACTTTATTAGCTACACACACACTAGTGTATTTCAAAGCATGGTCAGTAGACCAGCTGTAAATCTCTTATTAAAATGCAGGTTTCCAGGCATAGTCCACACATACATATCAAAAACTCTGCGAATGAGCTGCTTATGCACTGTAAACACTGAAAACCAGTGTTGGTTTCTATGAGGTGCTGGCTCTCTTCCCCTCCTGCTCCTATAACCATCCACCAACTGACCAGGAAGAACACTAACATGTCTAGGCCATGTAATTATTATACTGAACAGAGTAATGAGGTGTAAATCTCACAGTTTTTTGCATGCCTCTGCACTTGGCTTGCTCTCATTGGATTGTTTTTCCTTTAGAGTTGTTCTTTGGTCTGCTGTTGGCATCTCTATTGTCCATAGTAGACGTGGTGAGATGAACTTGGTGCCTTGGTGCTTAGGAACATACAGACCTTTGCCTCCCAAATAGGGAACAGGCAAGGAGACATGATTAAGCCCCTCAAGAACCCCCCTAGTATACCCCCAAGAGGGTCCTTGCAGTTCATATGTAATACCATTAAGCTCCCAGGGGCTCAAGCAGTATTTCTCAAGTGTGATCCTTATCATTCAGCTTCAGGATAAACATGCTGATTCTGAATCTCACACAAACCTATTGAATAGAATCTCTGGCAAGTGGGCTTAAGAAGCTGTACTTTTAACAAGCTCCCAGATGGTTCTTATGCACAGGAAGCTTGAGAAACACTGAGGTCCAGGTTCAATGAGGAGAATACCCTCTCTACAGCTCCTTCAGGAAATTCACAGGCTCTAAGGGAAGCCATTGGTTAACATTTCAGGTCTTCACATCACTCCCGTGCTGGTATTTCAGTACAGACTCACTTAAAATGACCACATATTCCGTTGGACTGTAATTGAATTTAGTCAACTCTTAAAAAAGTAAGAAATATGTAAACCTCAACTGTATACTAGCAGAGTCCTTAATACCATAAAAACACGGATTAGTTTCATGCCCAGAAATATTACAATTATGTTTCATACTACTTTCATTTTAAATTAATCTTATAGCATAACCAGGAAATACCTCTCAGTGGAATTCTAAGCTTCTCATATTCTTTTTATGCTTTCCAATACAGCTTATCAGTTGCCTCTCCCAGGCTGGGTGGTATTGCTAACCAACATGAGTGGCAAAGAAGGCTCTAAAATAGCATGACAATTTTATGCTTGACTCAGGTAATCATAGCTCTCTTGAGGGGAATCTGGTCCTCAGACTCACCTCTCCTCTGTTTCTGCCATCCACAATCCCCTCTGAGGAACTTAAGGCTCTTATACACTAGATTACACTCTACTGATTTATAGTGCCAAACAGCCATTCACATAAGGGCTCTCCATAAACATTACTGGATTATGCCAACTCAGTTGATTGATTCTGGACCTCTCACTGTGCCACTAATCTAAGGGCAAACTTATGCAGTCAATATGATTTCGGCTCCTCAAACTAGGCTCCCTATCCACATCTAGCACCTATTATCTTTTGAAAACAATACTGCAGTTAGAAGAACCAAGTATAGGAGAATATAAATTATAAATAGAAAAACAAGTAAAACATTACAGATGACTGAAGGTCTAACACACATAGTGAGAACAATCAGTATAAAAATGAGAGCAACTCTAATTCTTCTGCATGATAGAAGATTCCTTTTACCATCACCTAAACCAGGGATTTTTAAATTTTAAGGTATTTCTGAATTACCTGGAAAAAGTTACTAGAATACAGGCTCTGATTTAGGTAGTTAGAGATGGGGTCCGAGGTTCCGCATTCCCAACAAGCTCCCAGGTACTGCTGATGCTGCTCGTAACTTTGCTACTTATAGTGTGGGGAACGGGGGTGGACAACATAATCAGCAGCATCTGGGAGATTGTCAGAGAAGACTCTGGAGCACACCCTAGATTTAAAGAGAATCTGCCATTCAACAAGGTCCCAGGTGATTAGAATGCATAGTAGAGAGCAACTAACACACCATCTTGTACTTACTGTGAATCAGAATCACCTGGGACCGTTCTAAAAATACAAATGCCTAGGCCTCACAGCAGAGTCTCATTCAGTGGATCTGGGGTATTTGACTGTTCCTATGTTCCAAACCCAGGTGGTACTAATGAGCAGCATGCGCTGAGAACGACTGAATTAAAAACACCCCACTGGGTGGAGGGAAATATGGAGCAACCACTAATAGGTGAGGAATTTCTTATTGGAATGATAAAAATGTCCTAAAATTAACTGTGGTGATGGTTGCATAATTCTATGAATATACCAAAAACCATGGGAATAGTATACTTTAAATGGTCAATCATGTGATGTATTAATTAAATGTCAATAAAACTTATGTAAAAAAAAAAATTTAAAATTTCAATAGCTTTCCTATTTTTAAATAAATAAATAAATAAATATGCGTCTCCCCCCCCTCCCCCCCACACACACACTAAACAACAATAAAATGAAACTATTTTCTATCCTGGAACTCTGGCCCGAGAGTTTGAACTTCTTTTTAAAAAGAGGAAAAAAAACACGAATGCTTATATGACTGATCTAGAAATATTAAGATCTTTTCATCTGCTCCTTAGCTTCAAATTTGTTCATGGTTATGCATGAAGGAGAAACTTGAAAAGAAACCTTGTATCCCAGGGGGCATCACTATGCACTATGTTTTTTTTTTTAAAAAAAGGCATATTTATCATTTTGGAAAAGTTTACCCTGCATACTCCAAGTTTCCACAGTATTTTCAAATAGTAAATTTTTCTTTTGCTTCTCCTATTTAAAAATAAATTCACTAATAAGTGAACAAATAAGTTAATGAATTAATTCATTGTACCACATTCTTCCAACTTTTCTATGTTTGAAGACATTCAAAAAACATGTTAAAAATATATAAAATATAAAAATATATAAAATATATGTAAATCTCACCTTGTTTAAGAAAAATTGTCTTAAGAAACATGATAATATACTCATAAAAATAAATCATAAATAGCACGAAAATTTCAGGAAAGATCATTGTAATATATGAGACACTGTTTACTTATTCTCAAAAGGAAAGCACTATAAATATACGTAATAGGCACCACTTGGCATTTGAAAGAGACTCTCACAGCTTCTGATTGCTGTGGTGTCAAATGTTCAAAACTGCAGGTGCTGTATGCTCAAGTCAAGGAGGGTTCACAAGTATCTGATTTATTACTCTCCCTGTTGAATTACCACAGCCCATGGAAGCCATTTCCCTTCAAGAACCAATGCCCTTGTTTATGGTTCCATGTTCCCATTCTTCTGAAGCAGGCACATTCTGGATGCATCATTGAGCAGAGTTCCTAGCACAATATACAATGGTTACACGGCATCCTTGGGGGCCTCTGCTCACTAATTGGTAGTTCCTCTCTTAAGAAATGGCTTTCTGGGAACCTCAAAGCAATGGTTAAGGACACCTTCACAAATAAGTAGGATGCCCTTCCTTGCCTACAACTCCCCCATAAAATCCAATGCATTTCACTATAATTGTTGCTGTATTTTCTTTTAAAATAATTCCACCATGTTATATTCTATAGATCAGCAATCCCCACCCTTTTTGGCACCAGGGACCAGTGCTCCTATGAGAATCTAATGTCTGATGATTTGAGGTGGACCCAAGGTGGCATTGGAGAGTGGCTGCAAATACAGATGAAGCTTCACTGGCTCAACCCACGCTCACCTCCTGTTGTGCGGCCCAGTTCCTAACAGGCCACTGATGGTACTGGTCTATGGCCTAGGAGGTTTGGGGACCCCTGCCATAGATGATAAAGAAAAGGCAAACCAATGCTCTTAACTACTGACCTTGCCCTGGGTAATGACTCTTGGCCAGTCTATTACTTTCCAGAGTGAAGAAGTTTACCTTCCTGCTTTAAGTACATTTGCTCAATCTCTGTTGAATTAACTAATTCTTAATGGATTCGCATGTTTCAATTCATAATTTAGTTAATAATTCATACAATAAAAACATGTTTTTTTTAAAGAAAGGAGAAAAGTCTTACCTAATAGTATATATATCCTGAATACTCGTTTCCTCACCTTGTCCTTCCTTAAGAGCTTGCATTTGTAATAATTTCATAATGGCTTTTATCAAGCCATGGGTATTCCTGTGAAGAAATACAACAACATGTTAAATGTTACAGACATAAAGTAAATAATATTAAGAGGTGCTTAATCATGCCATTTTTAAATACTTGAACATTAGCCACCTACACTGAACAGTAGCCACCCACAAGCAACCAGCTCATTCTACAGCACAGCCAAGAAGAGGCCTACAGGCAGACAACGACCATCTAACACATTTAAAGAAATACAACCGAAGAATCAAACCACTAACCTATCAATCACCTCCCCACACATACCTGGGGGAATATCAATCAGGAAAAAACAAACATTAGCCCACATAATTGTAGGCAGTGACCACATCAGTTACCCATACTGAATAATCAAGTCCTTCATTTATAAATATTAGCAGACCATAAATTATTATTCCAGACATATGAATAACCAGACATATGAAATGAATCAGCCATTCAAAAAAGTAGGCCAGGGGAACAATCAGAACAAATAACCCCCATTAAAACAAAGTTAATGAGAGAGGGGAATAGAACTTTAAATTTTTCCTTATTCCTGTAAGAAGTAGTAGGATAATATATCAAAAAGAATAGCCTGCCCTTCTTGTTTTATTTTTTCTTTGTTCTTAATTTTTTTAATTGTGAAATGGGATTTTTTTCCAACTTTAGCTTGAGGTAAAACTGACAAATACAATTGTAATATATTTAAAGTATACAATGTGATATAAGTATTATATATTGTGAAATGATTACCATAATCAAGTTAGTTAATATACCCATAACCTCGCGTGGCTTTTTTTTTTTTAACTGCTACAGTCTAAAGAGAACCAGTGGGGGGGAATTTTGAGGATCTTCCTCTAGCTCTGCTCTGTACCCCATCCTTGGAACAGGAAAAAGATCAAGGAAGCAAGTGGAGGACAGCAAAGGAGCCACCAGTGGCCCCTGCCCCACTACAGGTTCACAGTCAATTCACACTCTCCCAATTTATGATAATATCTCTTTCTAGTTCTTTAATGATTTTAATTTAATACTTTTGGAATATATCTGAGTATATAATTGTCCTGGTATTATTTATTGATTTTGTTTTTTTGTTTGTTTGGTGAGATTGCTTAAGATCTTCTTCCCTAGCACATTTCAAATGTATAATGCAATATTGTTAACTCTAGTCAGCATGCTGTATATTAGACCCTAAGAACTTATTCGTCTTATAACGAGAAGTGATATAACATGATATCACTTTTCCCATTTCCTCCACCCCATCCAGCCCCTGACAACCACAATTCTACTCTGTTTCTGTAAGTTTGACTTTTTTTTTTAGATTCCACATATAAGTGATACCATACAATATTTGTCTTTGTCTGGCTTATTTCACTTACCATAATACCCTCCAGATTTATCTATTGTTAAAAATTACCTTACCCTTTTTATATAAGGATCTCCCTGGGAACTAAAAAGACGTACTAGAATTTTTTTTAAAAGAGGTATTTGTTAAATTTTTAAAAAGATATTTGTTAAATTTTACTCATGGTTGTTAATATTTAGGAGCACCTATTGTAAGCTAAGTGCTTCTAAGTGCTTACCATGAATTCTGTCATTTACTATACAGACTATAATAGGTTAACAAATCACTGTTAATTTTATTTGAGGGCTAGAACAAGACTTAGACTTAAACAATTGACAGCATTTGGTGCAATTATGTGAAGTATTATTGAGTATACACTTTTATGGCATTTAAAGTTTTCCAATTGATATGGAGGTTCTTCAAAAAACTAAGAATTGATCTACCATATGATCCAGTAATCTCTCTAGTGGGTATTTACCCCAAAGACTTGAAAACTCATATCTGAAAAGATATTTGTACACCGATGTTCCTGGCAGCACTATTCACAGTGGCCAAGACATGGAAGCAACTGAAGTGCCCTATGATAGATGACTGAATAAAGAAGCTGTGGTACATATATATAATGGAATATTACTCAGCCAGAAGAAGAGATGAAATACTGACATTTGCGACAACCTGGATGGACCTCAAGATAATCAGGCTAAGCAAAATAAGCCAGACTGAAAAAGTTGAAAATCACATGATATGACTTATATGTGGGATATAAACCTAAAAGCAACAAATGAACAGGACAGAGACTCATGGACATGGACAATGGACTAGTGGTAGGGGGTGGGGGAGCAGGAAAGAGGTAGACAGGGTAAAGAGGGTTAAATATAAGGGAGTTGGGGGAGGAAAGGGATCAAATATATGAAGGAAACTGGACTCTAGGTGGTAATCTCACAATAGAATATATAGATGTCAAATTATAATGTACACCTGAAAATTATATAATTGTATTAACCAATGTTACCCCAATAAACTTAAAAAAAATTTTTTTAAACTCTAAAATAAATAAATAAATAAATAAAATAGAGATTGAAAAAATAAAATAAAGTTTTCCGATTGACAAAAGGTTTGGCACCGCTGTCCAATACAGTGGCCGATAGCTACATGTGGCTATTTAGTACTTATACTATAGCTAATCCAAATTGAGATGTGCTTTAAGTATAAAATACATGCTGGACTTAAGACTTAGGACACAAAAAAGAATGTAAAATATCATATATAATGTTTTATATTGATTACATATTAAAATATTTTTGATGTATGAGGTTACATAAAATACATTGTTAAAATTAATATCACCTTTTTTTTTATTTTTTAATGTGGCTACTAGAAATTTTTGAGTTATATATGTGGCTCACATTTGGGTTCACATTATATTTCTATTTCCCAGCACTGCTGGAGACACTCAGGTAGTTTAGTTTCTAAGTGGATTCTTTGGTGAGCACTGAGGTTTCCCTTGTAGCTGAAGCACTTTCCACAATCTTCACAACAGTACGTTTTCTCTTTCATAGTGATCTTCTTACAACTATGCGAAGTAGACTCATGAATGAATCTTTTCTGACAGATAGCACACACGTATGGTTTCTCTTCTGTGTGGATTCTCTGGTGAACACAGAGATCTCAACACTGCAGGAAGCCTTTCGCCTAAGATCCTCTCTGCTGAGTGTGTTCTATGATGGAGGTCAAATTGAGAATTAGCTTTTCTTGTATACTCTACATTGTTATTGTGTCAATTCCATGGTAGTTTATTTTGACCAACAATATAGCCAGTTATCCCATTGTGACTCAATAAAAATTAAAAAGTAATTTTTAAAAAAAAAATTGAAATAAACTAGCTGTTTTAGGAATGCATGGCACCCCTTTGAGCCCTCTTTGGGAACAGAGGTACAGCCTTGTTTTCCTCCATTGGTACTGCTCACATTCTTCTGACGACTTGCTCTATTGACAGAATACTGAGTTTCTAGAATCCTCTTCCTCTAAAGCTTGGGAAAAGATATCTCAACATCTAAATTTTTAGAAAAAATTCCATCTTTGCAATTCTTTATTCTACTCACTTGTAGAGAATCAAAACCATTCCACAGCTGAGGATTCTGGATTTTAAGAAACGGGATCTTCCCTTATATCTTCCAGCTCTTCACAACTCTTCACATTTTCCTTTACAAAGACCTGAAGATTCTTCCACACAGAAGTCATAGGTGTTCTATAACCAATTTATCAAGAACCTCCTCCTGGGTGTGAACATCTGGACTCAGTCACAGAGGGCAAAGCTTACAGAGGATTCTCAGAGCTTCAGTACAATCTGACTCCTCCAAATACATACATTTGCTAAAGCTAACTCACTGGGCCTCAGGGTTGCAGTCTTTCTTTTTGAAAGTCAGTTTCTCAAGATGATACAAACCCCATGGCTCTGACCCAGGCCTGTGCCTAGATGTTGTACAAGACCATAAAATCTCAGGTCTGTAACTATATTTAGCAGATAAATTCTCATCATCACTGAGAGAGTGAGTAGTTCCCAGATTGCAGTATCTGATAGAGACTTATCATAGGGTGCTGACTCTGGTTTGCTCTGGTAAAGGGTCACTACATGTTCAGAGGCATTCTTGTCTTTTGGCTTTCAATATTTATGCAACTAGAAATCAGCTCTAATGTTTGATTTAAGCTAAAATGACTCCATTTACATACAGCTGGGTAAAGTCCAGGCCCCACCTAGTAACCACACATGGCCATTCTCTGAGCCTAATGATTAGTTTAAATGGTACTCGTTTTAGATGATCAGTGTTAATTGAATTTCTGACTAAATTTCTTCCAAGAACTATGGACGTTAAATACGAGCAAACCTAAGAGAGAATGCGGGTTCGGTTCCAGACCACTGCAAAAAGCAAGTATTGCAATAAAGTGAGGTGTAACCTTTTTACTGGTGGAGGGTCTTGCCTTACTTCAATTTGTAAAAAAAAGAAAAACAAAACTTGTGAAGCACAATAAAATGAAGTATGCCTGTAATCCTTTTTTTGTACATGAAACTATATTGGTTTTCCTTATCTAATGATTTATTTGTCATATGACTAGAGTTTTAGAGAGGCAGATAACAGACCTATAATTTTTAACCAACATAGGTCACCCACTCTTTTATGAAAGCAGTAGAATCTCAGAGAAAAGCACATACATCATATTTGCATTAAATTTCAGGGATATTACAGAACCACTAAGGCTGATGAATGAACTCATTTTTTAACCTGTAAGCCTTGCTTGGTCTTATTTGTGGCTCCAGATTTTACTGTGTGGATAATAGAGTCCTTACTGTATTGTAAGCAAGAGCGTGGCATGAATAGATTATGATTTTTTAAAGATAGGGCATCGATCAAATCACATATACATCCATTCCAATAGTAACACATTTGCTTTAAACTCAGCTGAATAGCTATTTAAATTATTCAAATATTTCAAGTGGGTTGAGAGGGATGGTTTGAAATTCATATTTATTTAAATCCTTGCTTTAATTCTAATTATTTAGGAAATGTTGGGCAAACCACTTAATGCCTGGGCGTCTGAACATACTCATCTGTACAGTCTAGAATCATGGTAATAAGCCCAGCTCTCATGTTGTTTTAAAGAATAAAGAAAAGTATTTCAGTTAACTATCTGG